TCATATAATTATTCTTTAGTGTATTATTTTATTAATAAAATATATTGTAGATGTAACATTTTATTATTAAATTATTTCCACAAGCATTTTATATTCAGTTTTAAAATTATTTAAGGGCATCAAACGGCCCTAAATTAGGACATGTTGGCGTAGAGGAAGAAAAATGATTGGATTCCGATTCCATCTAAGGAATCTAAATAGGAGCGATGACATGACAATTTTAATTGTCTTTTATCAATTTATTTTTGCATAATAATTTAGAAATGAACGGAGTAAATTGGTTTGGGCCAACTTGACGAGTAAATACAACAATGACATTAGTACAACATGACTTCGGTTACAGGATATGTATTCACTGTCGGATACCCCATCAGGATAAAAACCTGGTCTCTTGGTGCTTTCATGCACTGTAAATGCTTATTTCATTATAGGGAGTTTCGAAAAGTATAAACAGAAATAAGAGTACAACATTTAGAAAAGCATACTTTAAATAAGAGTATATATTGTAAAAATCAATATTCCCTCCGTAACATTCACATCTTCCCACTTTCCTTTTTTGGACGTAACATTTATATTTTCCCATTTCTAAATTTTCACATCATACCCTCAATAATTTAAAAAATAATACACTACTACACCTACTTTTTTTGGATATATCCTTCATTCCATCATATTATTTCACCATTTTCCCATCATACCCTCAATAATTCATACCTCATTTCACTATTCTTAATCTCACCCACTTTGAAAGTGGGAAGATATATGTGATACGGGGGGAGTATATATTAAGGGAGGACAGGATAGTCAGTCGACCCCCTGAGAATTTGAGTGTAGAGCTCTCTGAAATACCTTTGATTTGATATATTATGTACGTAGTATCTCGTCATTAATTACGAGTAAAATGTTATGACTTCTGAAAAGCCAAGACTATCTAAGAATAAAACGAGTTAAAATTTAAATTGTAACATTGATTATATTCCCAAATTTTGAAAATTAACGTATAATTCACTCGTTACGTGACGTGACTTATAGAGAGAGTAAATACAACATATCTTACTCGTACAAGTGTCTACTCAATGGCCGAATCTTTTCTATTAAGAATTTTGATATTATGTGGGATGGGAGAAGAATGCACTAGGTCTCATCTGAGACAGCAACTGATGCATCAATGTGTGTGTATCAAATATATATCTCTGTGACTCATTTAAACTATTATGTTATTTATCTAAACTACATATAAAGCATTCATGTTATTTGTCTAAAATGAACCACCATTTTGTGGCTTAGCCGTTGTTTCCGAGCAACATTTTTTTTAATCAACTTCTTCATTTCAAGGAGCCAAAAAAGCAGCTGGTTGGAAACGCCATGTATTGCAGCTTTTGTTGTTGTCTGCTTCAACAATATTTGATTTTTACAATGTAACGTAATTTTCCTCATAAATTACGTTCCGAGTGCATTCTTTCGTTGGTGCCGTTTTTTGCAAACCCCTTGGTATTTTTTTAGGATAGCTTTTTATTTTATTATTTCTTTATATTTTATTTTACACCTATTGACTACTAAAATTAATAAATGTGAATAATTAATATTTAATTGCTTACTAAAATAAATATATTAAGTTAACAAAAATCAATTAGAATCAATAAATAATTAATATTATATCCTACCAATAAAAAAGAGTTGAAACATCCTATTTTAGTCAATGATAATACTCACCACAATAATTATTATATGCTATTTATAATAATAACAATAATCGGTGACAAAATATTGTGTGTATATTAGGTCATGTCTTTAAATGCAAATTTACATGCTATCAAGTAGAAAAGAACGACTAAATTTACGAAATATTTTTCTGTAAAAATCTAATTCCATCAGTCAATCACACAACTATTACTATATATCAGCCGATCATACCGCTTAAAACAATCAGCTAGCAACTAGTAGCTACTGGTTAATTATCAAATATCGCCATTATTTAGCTGGTCAACCAGTCAAAGCAACAAAACTCAATCGATAAAATTAGTCAACCCAACCAAAATGAGTGATAAGACATTTACCAAACTTATTTAAACCAGACAAAATATATTTGGTGAATAGCTGTTTGAAGCTTTGAATCGGCCTTTTCATCTAAAAAACAAAAAACAATGGATATAGGCCTTTGATGGACAGTGTTCTCGGGGGTAGCTTATCCGGGGGTTATTATGTGAATAACCTAGAGAGAAGTCAGAGCAAACAAGTAGGAGAGAGAGACGATTATATTAATCAACTCGAGATGTTCTGGTCCTTTACAATGGGAAAAGGGGGTGCTATTTATAGCAGCAATAAATGCGATGAGAGTACACGTGGCGACAATCTAACGGCCGAGGGGTCACCTCAATCGGGTGGCACTGACACTCGCATGTGCACCGCATTGAATGCGGTGGGTGGATGTTACGCCGCATTAAATGCGGTGGTTGCTTGTCTCTAAAAGGAAACTTCGATGATTGAGTATGTTAGCCGAGGGCTCTCCATGCAGCCGAGGGCCCTGCGTGGCCCGAAGGCTCGGTTCAGCCGAAGGCTTCTCTGATGTTGAGGGCTCAACAATGCCGAAGGCTCCTGTTTTCTACCATTTTCTCCCAATAGCTTCGTATGCTCAAATATGGCTGTTCTGTGAGTTTTGGAGCCTTCGGCCATACTGCCAAAGGCTACCCCAGGCGCTTCGTGGACCACTTTTGAGCTTGGGCCGCTGTGTCTTGGGTCTCCTGCGCTTCTTGGGCTTGTTGGGCCTGTGATAGAGTAGTAGGAGTATATGGGCCGGGGGTCCCTGGGCATATACTCCATCAGCCTTATTAAATGTACTAAGGGCTGATAGTACGGAGTATTTTATTACTTACATTATCCCTGGCCCGCCCAGAGCAGGGAATCCAGGCCAATAGCACAGCGCCTCTAATTTTTGAAGGCCAAGAAAAATAAAAAATAAAAATAGTCGTAATCGTAGTATTAGGTAGCCCAACTTCAAGAAAAATAGATGAAATTAGAAACCTGGGTTTTGAATCTGGATATCATGCGACTGATTAGGTGACGACGACTATCAAACGCCGACCACCGTCTAGGGCGCCACCGCACCACGACTCCCGTCCGCTCAGACACTCATTGCTCAGTCTCTCAACCTGCGTCTCCGCTGAGCCGCCTACCGTATCGGACCGTGTCGCTCGGCAGCTGAAGTAGTGAATTGATGATTTGCTGAAGCAGGTAAGTTTATCTCTTTCGAATTATAAATTATTAGTTTTCTGAATTTGTTTGTATTATTATTTACTAACCTTTTTTATTGTTATGTGATATTGTGATTGAATGCAAAATTCTTCAAATTTGATAAATAAGAAATGGATATATAAATTTAAAAATTAAGAATAATTTACGTTGGAATCAGGGATGGAAATTATACAACATATCTATTTATTAGTCCTACGGAAGGCTAAAATAATAAATACGCAATAATATACATAACAAAATATGAAATTGCTCTTTACTCTAAGGGTATGTTTGGCAAATGGCTGTTAGCTGGTTGTGTCAGCTGTTTCCTAACAGTTGGTTGTGTTAGCTTTTTTGACCGGCTGGTTATGTTAGCTGATTATAGATAACTGTTTGGTAAAATTGGTTGTTTCGAAATGGCTGATAGAGTGTAAATTGAACCAGCCGAATGAAGAAGCTGCTCCCCTTAGCTTCTTCAACAATCCATTTTTTCAGCTTTTCAAACCCAACAAGCTAATTTTAAAAGCCATTTACCAAACATCATTATTAGCTTCTTTGACCAATCAAACAGCTGAAATGGGTCAAACAAGCTAAAAGCCGGCTGATAAGCCATTTGCCAAACATACCCTAAGATTTTTTTTAGTTAGCTCTTTGTACTTTGTAGCATTGCCAGTTTTAATTTTTTAGTATTTCATGATTTTTCTTTGCAATTTCTTATCGTTACCTTTAGCTTCATTGATTCGTCTAGACCAATCTTGTTTTCTGTTAATAGGTTTACAATGTGGCTAAATTGAAATAAATTAAAAGAGGTAACAGTCAAATTAAAAATTAAAAATTGTTAGCAAAATAGTCATAGATGTGTTTGTGCTTCAATTACTATTTGTGTATAATTCAAGTTACACCCTTTTTAAGCATTACTAGTATTGTACATGTGCGATGCACGGGACAATAATCTTAATTCTAATAACATTGAATATATGTAAGATACCGAAAAAATATGAAAAAAGTTTTTATACTGAAACCTTTGAAAAAAAATTACAATACAAAAGAAATTAAATGTTACAGAAAAGGAATAATTTGAGTTTGCACCGCATTTTATTGTCGAAACTGGACTTTGCATCCCGTTTTTAAAAATCTTTGTTTTTGCACCCCCAATCCTTTATGAAAAGACAAAAATACCCCTCTATCATGAATATGTTGAAGGCCAACACAATTGTTAATGGAGGGGTATTTTGTCTTTTCATAAGGGACTGAGGTGCAAGAACAAAGATTTTCAAAAACGGGATACAAAGTCCAATTTCAACAATAAAATGGGTGTAAACTCAAATTATCCCTTCGGAAAACTTTTAATAACTTATGAAATGTACGACTACTGCAATACACAAATCACACAACTTTATGTATATAGTGGACTTTGCTATTGCAAAGACTTTTTCCTTTTAAATTGTCACACCAGATTTTACAATAACAATCAATTTTTTTTATTCAAGGACAGGCATGGCTCATGAAATATTTTTATTCAATCATATGAAAAATGTTATCATTCTATTTAAGGTAATAAAAATGTGGTAAAAGTTAAAAAATCACTATCACACCATTTTTTTTGACAGAGCTATCACACCATTTTTAATTTAACATTCCAGATACAAATCAACTTTCCCAAAGTTTTGTGTGAAATAGCACCTTAGTTGGACCATCTTGTTTAGTTTGACCCGTTTATAAATCAGCCCAAGTTAACATTGGCCCAGTCTGATTACAATAGCCCTAATCTGCCCTTTGTTTGTATTGCCCGTCCTGAGTAATAAGCTCAGCAAACATTGAGCGCCGCCTCACTCTACCGCAACGCCGCCTCTCTCTAACGCAACGCCGCCTCTCTCTAACACTTGTACTCCGGCGTCCTTGTAGCTGCCGGCACCATCCCCGCCCTATATCTACCCTCTTGACACCAGCTAAACACCATCAATTTCGCCGGTCATCTTAGCTAGCCCGTAAGTATGGTTCTTATATACACTTTGACATCTATGGGTTATCTAAAAATACACTTGATATCTATGGGTTAGTATTACAATCTAGCGTATAATTTCATTGCATGGTTTTAAATTCAGTTTAAGTTCCTAAGTTCTTATGAACTCGTTCCTGGTTTCATCTATCATTGTAACTCATACATCGCACTGATGGCCGAGGACATGCTCTGTAGAATCATAGACTGCGATGAAATTAGGTTTTTTTAAACATTATATTTCAGTTCAGATCTGATGCTAGTTCGAATTTAACGTATGTTATATTTAGATTCGTTTCATTATCATATTTTGAAGTCAATTCAGTTCCTTATGAATTTTAGATCTATCAAATGCTTTGGATATATATCAAATGCTTTAAAATGCATGTGTCTTTCAAAGTCTGTATCTAATTTTTCTTTTTGTAAGATAACAAAATCTTACGTAAAGTGTAACAATTTAATTTTACGTGCTACTTAATATTCTTTGTAACTGCTACTGTAAATTTTTAATCAGGTTATAACTTTAATTAATTTAAGCACCAATCCCAAGTATTTAATTAAAATGTAAAAACAGTATATAATATTTCTAATATATAGCTGATTTCATCCGCTTAATCTGTTCATAAGTAAGATGCCCAGAATTGGCATCCAATTAATTCGGTTCCCATAATGTTACGTAGGAAAAACTCAAATCAGGTTGATTACTTGGGTGATCACTACCATTAGTATCATATACGGAGTATATTGGTCAATGCTTTTAGTATATAAATCTTATTGGGTTTGACATGTATATCAAATAGTTTATATACAAAAGCAATGCATATGTAAGTTCATATTTAAAATTCAAGTTAGGTGTGTTATGCACGTGTAAATGATGTTTGGGTTTGTTTATGATATACATGCTATGTCTTACAGCACTTAAATGTCAATGAACTTAAGGCTAATGCATTTGAAATGTTTTGTATTGCCGCAGTGGAAGTAAAAGAACTTTAGTGAAGGTGGATCACCTTTGTGCTCAAGCATTGATTCAAAAACATTATATGTTGAGGTAACCTGCTAGTTTTCATTCATCTTGTTTCTGTATTCGTGATTTGTACAGAGTATGTAACTAAAAAGGAATCCAAACCTTATTTAAATTTTTTTCTAAGTTTTCGAAGTAAAACTAATCTTAATTTTAGTTGATTTCATAGAAGCAAAGAGAAACGTGGTTTCTCAATTTTTAGTTGAATATTTCAAAACTTAGTTGAATATTTCTAAGTTCATAGAAACAAAGAGAAACGTGGTTTCTCAATTTTTAGTTGAATATTTCAAAACTTGAGAACGATTGACGCTTCATACACCACTAACCAAGATGAGTATGTAATTCTTCATATTATATTTTATTTGAAACAATTGCTTGTAAAATCTTATCCAATTATACATTTAATCTTCACCCGTTTTATAAAAACTTTGAAACATTATGTAGTTTTATACTCCGTATTATATTTCCATCAATCTGTTATTCTGTTCCGTTCTAAATGCCTAAATCATACTATCAAACTTTTAAAATACTACGTATGAATAGGGATGGACTCGGGCCGGGCCAACCGGCCCGGAACCGGACCGGCCCGCTACTGTGCGGGCCCGGTGAACCGGTTCGGTTCCGGTTCGGGCCTCCCGGCCCGGTGGTATACCGGTCCGGGCCCGGGCCTCCAGTTTAGTGAACCGGCCGGGCCGGGCCCGGTTCGGGCCGGAATTTAATTTTTTTTTTTTTTTTGAATTTTTTTTAAGTTTTGGGTTGGATTAGGTATTTTGGGCCATTTGAGGTGGTTTGGGGTGGAGGGGGAGGGGTAGGGGGTTAAATAAGAGAAGAAGAAGAAGAAAAAAAAAAAAACATTCCGGGTGGCCCGGCCCGGCCCGGTTCTGGCCCGGAACCGGAACAGGAACCGCCCACCACCGGTTCGGGCTCGGGCCTCCTTTTTCTGAACCGAGGCCCGGCCGGGCCCAGGCCCGAACCGGGCCCGAACCGGAACCGGTCCACCCCTACGTATGAAGTAATGAAGTATTGAAACTTACTTGGGATCTTCCAAAACTATTTCAATGAGCTTTTGACATTCCCCAATCCACATTGTGTTGTTGGAGTGCGAATCAATCTCGGACTAAAAAGTTCGTATTTATGCACTATGATAATAAAAAGCACTAAACAATAATAAAACTACATGGGCTTTAAAAAAATATTAGAACTAAAAAGAAAAATATTAACTTGGTGTTGAAAAAATAGGAATTGTCTGCTCTGAATTTCTGGAATGAATGAAGGAAATGACAATGATACTCGCTTCTTCGTACAATATGTATGCAGTTTGTGGGTGGGCACCATCAAACGGAAGTTTTACATCTTGTGCTTTGTTTGGACACGTGTAACATTGAAGTTAATTTATCACGGCTGGCTGTAAAACAAATTCCATCATTTGTAATTTCAGAATTTGCCAATAGTTTAGTCATGTGTATTGCAAATGTAGAATAGGCGGGAACAGTTAGGGGACAGACGGTCCCCTTTATATATATATAAAGATGTCTTCACATAGGCCCTTGGTACAGTTAATAGGATATAGTGCACCTAAAACGATCAAAGAATGCTAGTATACACATTTATAACGGTTTAGTTTTTCTAAATGCACTTAATCACAAATATAACTCATTTTATACCGGTTAAATCAAATAAATCTGTCACTACTCACTAGTGATTGTATGTACTATGTAGCAACATTAAAGCCCATGTCTTTCTTTCTCACTAGGGTTTTGATGGCAAATTATGTTGCATATGCTTTTGCATATATTTTTAGATTATCATGCTTGCATAAAATTGGTGCTTTTATTATGGTTATTATCATGCTTGTATAAGTGTGGTGCTCTTATTATTTTATTATCATGTTTGTTTAAGTGTGGTGCTCTACATATATTAGCATTTCATTAAAAAGTAATGTTATATTTTTCTGTGCAAGCTAATTCAGCTGGAGCAGATATGCTGTGGTTTGGGGAAAGCTGAGCAAGTCATTTATTCACTCAAAAGAGCCTAGTTCTTGAGTTATGGCTCTCTACAGAGCTCGAATGACTTCTTCGCCGCTTTTTCAACTCATCTCTCGGTCTCTTAGTTACAGTATATATACCATTCTCTATCTCTACCTATACGCATGTGAATGTATTTGTATATTTAGGCCATGTTTGACACAACATAAGCTAGCAATTGTTATTGAAATAATCTTTTTAGATGAGTTTTGTTTGGTTGAATCAACTTATTTATTAAGGAAACAATATCTATAAGCATCATGAGTAGCTTTTCGAACAACCAAATGTTCTGTTTGCATGGGACTTCATTTTAGTCTGTAGTTTTATCTGAAATATATCTTATCATGGCATTTGAAATTTCAAAACAACCTTATGCACTAATTATACATACAATATGTGAGATCATGTAGCTTTAAATTATTCCCTCCGTTTCATGTTTTTTCCTGATAACACATAATTTAGTTTCACTCATTACAAATTTAATACTTGCATGTTAAAAACTAAAGTGGAAAACAATAAAAGTTATGTATATAGATTTACAATTTAAAAGAGAGCTGTATTGAGCGCAGAATTGCAACAGGGACAACTAATTTGAAATGGAGGGAGTATGAGATAAAAGCTGTAAGACAGAAATTAACTTATTAACTTTCTTTACAGAAGTAGCATCTCAATCAGTTGGGCCTGCTGCATCTTCAGCAGTCCAAGAAATGACAAATCCGACGTTCACAGTTGATGTGACCTCTCAAATCGGTGCAAGCATGCCTCTAAAGATGATGCGTATTGGGACCCTCATTCACAATCTTGAGATGCGACCCGGCCAAGGCCCGAAGCTAGTCCGTGGATGGGGCACAGTCGCCAAGATCATGACTGAGCCCAGGTCTGAATCGTCCAGGTACTGCGAGATAAAGCTCCCGTCTGGTGATAAAAAGATGATTGATGTCAGGTGTTGGGCCACGATTGGGCGAGCCCCCAATGCAGAGCATGCATCGAAGAAACTTTATAAGGCGGGACAGAACAGGTGGCGGGGGATCAGGCCGACGGTCCGTGGTGTGGCGATGAACCCAGTTGATCACCCGCACGGTGGTGGGGAAGGCAAGAGTAAGAGTAGTGGTAGTCACGGGAAAGTGTCGCGTACCCCTTGGGGTAAACCCACCAAGTGTGGCTATAAAACTGGCCGACTTAAGAGGAAGAATTGATTTGTTTTCTTTGCTCCCAGTTTTTATGCTTTTTTAACTTACCCAATGTCATACAGTAACTTAAAAGCTTTAGAGAAGGGAGTGGAACTGCAGACTTTTATAGCTAAAGAAAGTGACTTGGGAAAAGATGATCCAGAGTAGCATGAACTGCAAGCTTTAAACCCTTTCTGCATTTTAATAATGGTTGTTAGGAACCCGTAGTTTGACATGTTTGTATAATTTTTTTTAGAAAAGCAACTATTCAACTTCTAGCCAGTCTAATATGCCATTCTTGCTTTTGGTGCATGATTAAAGATTTTTGTTGCATATTTGATTCTTCTGCACAGTGCTCACTACTTTTAAAGCAAACCAAAATTTGTACAATTGGTCTAGCAGTAGGTAATGTCCCCAGATTGTACCAGATCTTGCTGGGTAAAAACATACACCCCGGAACTGCAAATATGAACTGGAAGCTTGAACTGGCCTCACTCATAAACGGTTCCTAGGGGTTGGATTGGGCTTGTCTCAGTATAGTTTTACTTGAACAGGCTATTTGCATTTTGCAGACACAAAAAGCAGCATGTTCACATACATTTCACATACATTTGTACTGGTGTGTACAACAACCGGGGCTGAAATGTATTAATTCCATCTCATGATAATCTTTTTAAATAGATTTTGCTTGTAGATTAAGGAAGCGTAATTGTGTGATACAAAGTTGTGTAAATGAGAGAGAAGCGATACGAACTACGATTTCTTGGTATAAAAGGAAATTGAAATTATTCTGCGCGCAATGTAGGGATGGACTGGGCCGGGCCGAACCGGCCCGGAACCGGACCGGCCCGCTACTGTGCGGGCCCGGACCGGACCGGGCCCGGTTGGCCGGTTCCGGGCTTTTAGCCCGTTTTGGCGGGTCGGGCGGGCCGGTTCCGGGCCCTGTTTTTGTTGAACCGGCCCGGGCGGTTCGGGCCGGGCCCGGTTCATTTTTTTTTTTTTTTTTTGGTTTTTTCAATTTTTTTTCTTTTCCTAGGGTAGGGCTGGGTGTTTTAGGGAGGTTTGGGGCGTGGGGGTGAGGGGGGGGGGGGGGGGGTAGGGAGATAACAAGAAAGTCAAAAAAAAAAAAAAAAAAAACATTGAACCGGGCCCGGCCCGGCCCGGCCCGGTTAGGCCCGGACCCGGTATCAACCCGGGCCGGTTCCGGGCCCATGTAACCCGAAAAAAAGCCCGCCCGGGCCCGGCCCGGAACCGGAACCGGCCCGGCCCGGGTCCATCCCTAGCGCAATGGATCAAACTAGAAAGAATGAGGATAATTTTGAAATAGAGGGAATATCATTTTTTCTTAATTAGGCCCATTTCTTTGGTATAAAAGGAAATTGAAATTATTCTGCGCGCAATGGATCAAACTAGAAAGAATGAGGATAATTTTGAAATAGAGGGAATATCATTTTTTCTTAATTAGGCCCAAAAATGCAAATATGACGTCATACATCAAATTCCTAAAAATGCTCTTGATCATACAACTTTGAATAAATTATTTTCACTCATGAAGAGAAATCGTCACTAAACTGCCGGTGACACTATCTGAAAGTCATTGATTCCCGAGACCTCCAACAGTCCAACTGTCAGTCTCCTCTTCCACTTCCAATATCTTTTTCTCTTACACTTAAACTTCACAATGTAAAATTTTTAAGCTCCGGTCCTCTAAGCTAGTCATGGACTTGGGTCCGTTCTAGTTCGGACCTGGGCCCGATCGGGCTTTTTTTGGGAAGGAAGAACCGGAACCGGCCCGAGTAGGTAGTGGTTCCGGACCGGGCTAAGCCGGGCCGGTTCATGTTTTTTTTTTAATTTCTTCTAATTAACCACCGACCCCCCTCCCCTCACCCCCAACCCCCCCCCCCCCTCCCCAAAACACCCAGACCAACCCGGGAGAAACCCAAAAAAAATTGAAAAAACAAAAAAAAAGTATAGGTTGGGCCAGTTCCACTTTAGGAGGCCCGATCCCGGCCCGATTAATTCCCGGTTTGGGTGGCTCGGACCGGTCCTATAACTGGGTACCGGGCCGGGTGGCCCGATCCGAGTCCATGACTACTCTCAGCTAATGATAAAACCACCTTAGAAAGGATGACCCTAAATCTTAATGCTAAATGCTAAATATGTTCTAGATTAAAGTTATTGTCATTTACAAATAAAGGATGATATAATGCCTACACCATTTGTTCCTAATAATTTTGTCATTTTCCATAAGTAAGCCTCATTTTTCCTTTTAATCAATAAGTTTGTGGTTGTTATTGTTTGTCTCTTCTGTACAAAGTTTAACCACAAAATTTTTAATTTATTATTTTCTCGTGTCAATGAAATTGAATTTGACAAATCTTTGAGGAGTGAAGGATGAGGTAAAATGCTAATTAAATCGAGTGAAGTGTCAAAAAATGTCAAAAAAATGCTAATTTAAAACTTAGAGAGATCTCTTTTTTGAAGAGAAAAACAAAAAGCATCTCATATTCATACCAACCTTCCAGATTAAGTATAAAAATCATAGGAGATGGTCCAGATTCAATTGCTATTAAATGCAAACATTGTATTTGTACATACAAATTCGATGGTTATACATAATTTTGTCATACATACATTATACGTAGGCTAGTAATATGAGTCATATGACTACTAATAATGGGAGGCTTAATTTGGAAAGGAATAATGGCGATTACAAGCACAGCCAGATCACATGTACGTACCCCACCATTTCAAATTTCAGCGCCACCAAAAAACAGTACGTACGTGGGGCCAAGAAGTAGACGGAAGGATGACGACGGAGGAATCCATTGAAGAAGATTTATCGTACGAGCCGTCGTCGGAGGTTGATTCGGTTTACGAGTTCGATGCGTCTCATTACTTTGACTTCAGCCGGCCGGAGTCATCTTCCGACACTGAACGGGCCGAGCGATGGTTCCACGTCGCCGGCTATTATCCACCTTCGCGTAAGAATAGAGTTTTTTTTATAAGAATATTACTAAAATAAAACTTATTTACATAAATATGAATATTCATTACTACAATGTGGTGTTGTAGTAACTTAAGTTCAAAACTTGAACATGAATTACTATGATTTCATTACTACTCTAGTAACTAGTCATATTTTTGTAAACCATCTTTATTTTGGTCATATTCATGTAATTATTTTGTAAGAATATTCTTTATCTGTTTTACTTGAGCTCATCAATAGAAAAATGGTACTTCCTCAATTCTAAAAGTTATATAGTGAAATCAATTTATTTAGGATGAAGAAAGCAGTCAGTAATTAGTCGCTATATATGTCTGTCATTTATAAAAAATGGGGTAGGAAAATATATTAATCACTACCTTAATTATTGAGTAAGTATATACTACTACGTACTATGTAATACATAATTCTGGATATCTAATTATTTATCACTCAATTGTGAATATTGTGCTCCAGAAAATGGGTGAATTTTTCTTAAGTTGATCAAACTAATGTAGTGAGTACGTACTGGTTCCATTTCAATATAAAAATCATGGAAATGGAGCATTACATTAATGTTTTATGATGGAAATGGAAATTCCATATAACTAAAGAAATAAATTTAATACTTTTGATTTGTTTACGTACTAGGAACAAAAGATCGATGTTGATCGACTTGCATTAACGGATGCACTTTAGTGCAAGAACGTTCTTGGAGTATTCAAAAAATTGAGAAAAATATAAACATAATATAATAGGGAGTATGTAGAATTGAATGAGAAAAATATAAACATAATATAATATGGAGTATGTGGAATTGATGTAATAGTTTATTTTCCAATTCGATCTATTTAGGGGTGTTTGGAACTGATTCTGCTTCAACTTCTTTTTTAAAGCAGAAACAGAATAAGTTTTGCGAAGTTGATTTCTCCCAACTTTAAAAAAATGATTCTAGACGTAAATTAGAACATCAGAATCAGTTTTAAGAATCAAATCCAAACACCCCTTATTAGTTGTTGAGAAAAAGGTGTAGATTTTTTGCTTCAAACAATACGGCCTTTTCAAATTCTTTATAACTAGTCTTGAAACACCCAAAAGTTAAATCATAAATCCTTCACTATTGATTTGATTAAATCACCTCTCGTGCGTGGATTAAATTCAGGTTTCTATTTCAAGTCGAAAGTGATCATTAACACACAAGAAACAAATGACGAAGAGATGAAAGGTATGAATTTACATGATATGTGTTATGATCGGCCGATTAAAACGTTCCACATATATACATGCACATTATATAACTTATAGAGCATCTCAATTGAAGTTTTCTTAATCTTTTTCAACTGGTTGATGTGTATTCAAAAACTTGTACGTCCTAGCAGGGAAGACGATGGTGAATAATGGCGAGGTATTAGAAGAGACTCCAAAAGCTAAACCTAAGGCGGCGGCGACACAAAAATCAGGTGGTAGCAAAACGAGGAGCTCATCAACGTTAATGAAACCTACGGCCAGCCACCTGGCCAGGCTCAACCTATTGGCTGCGACACAAAACGATAATGAAGCTACAAAAAGGCAAAAGCTTGACAGCGGTTACTTGCTTAAGGTACGTAGTAGTTTGTGTCGCCTTCGTCTTCGCAAGATCAGATCAGACTTAAACACACTAGACCAGATTAAACAAGACTTTCGTAGTTATAAAATACACAGGACCAGACATTTACCAGACCAAATGAGCAAATTTCAGTTCAAATTAAAAACATCCTAACTACATGAGACTCTTGTACTGCTGGGACGGATGCAAGAAGAATTAAAGTATGGGTGATACCATTTGGGTATACCAATACTAGTATAATACCATTTGGGGTGAGGTGTAGAGAAATAAAACAAAAATAAATGGCATTTATATCTGATTTTTTTTGAATTAGGGAATTATTATATCCTTTCCGCTATGAGTTTGAATGACATTCATCAAATAGAGTGCAAATGTACGTGTCAAATTTAGCAACATTGAGAAATTGTTGAGACTTACTCCGTTTATTACAACGGAAATGCATATATGAACTTTATAAAATCGTCAAATAAAATGTGATAATATTTTTGAACTTGAGTGCTCATACATTATAGAAGTTCAATATCTTTATGTATTATCTCAAATGGTTAATATGTTACAGAAAACGATCGGGGAAAAAAAACGATCGGGAATGTTAGAAAACGATAGGGAATGTTAAATGGTAGTTAATTTGTAATATGAAGAGTCAGGAGTTTTCTTCTGGCATTAAGAGTCTATTTACAGCTTCCAGCACTTTTATTGTCTTTAAATAATGCATAAGTTGCATCTTTTCATCTTCTCTATATTCTCCTATAAATA